TCAGGAAAATTTAGATAACTTGTGAGATAAGGTTCAACAGGTCTGTCCAAAGATTTGATAAATGTTACATTTTCATCAAGGCAATTTATTGTATTGAAGCGATTTTTCGAATAGAAGTTCTGTAAAAAGGTTATGAACGATTATTTTCTTGCTTGTAAATTGTTCATAAATGTTCTTGTAATAATTGTACAAAATATTAATTTTCCTTATTTCTATCATTTTCGTCAACCTGGATGCTTGAATTCTCTCAGTAAACCTGAGCTCACCTATAACCATGTAGTTTCCTTTKTATAATACTTTCAGAACAAACATAATTCTGGAAAATTGCAAGTTATTTTCTTTTCTWTATTCCTTTTGCAAAGGGGGTGGGTACTAGATGTGTTAAAAAGTGAGCACTGTTATAAAAAAACAACTTATGTGTTGTAAAGGTTTCATTAATTCTTTACATTCACYCATTTTAAATGTCTGCATATTCTTAGCTGTTGGCTTTTCAACTTGGTTAAAGTTCAACTTTTTCCTTGGCAAAGAATATAACTTTCTTCGGAAAATTCAAAACTATCCAATACATATTTTATTGAAAAGTTTACATATTTATTTTTATCCATCATTGTTTTAGGTTATGACAATATCTGCCAAAACATATAAAAATTTAAAAATCATACTTATTTATAACGTAAATGCAATAAACAGAAAAAAATGTTTTTGACAATTGTATGGCAGGCATCAAAGAAGTCTGTTGTTTGTTATTTAACGTCGTAATGTTGTTTGAGTTGTTCTGTTCATTTTCAGGGCTCCACTGTGGGTTAACGTCCGGGCCACAAAGGCAGGCACCCAGGCGTGGAATGGGGTCCCGGTATAAAAGAAYTGTGACATTTGTGCAAATGTTTTCCAGCTGCTCATTTGCCCATCATGACGTYAATGATTTTATGTCTCCACGTAGGTCAATTAAAATTGGCTCATTGATTTCAGTTTGTGAAAGGGACAGTCATACAAGCACAAAGCCTCAAAGTTATGTGGATGTTACTGAGGGCTGTAATTATTCGAAGGACGTGTCGTGTCCCCACTGTAAGAGAGGTCTGTGTGATGTAGCAGGTTTTCTACACTGTAAAAACACTGCATCTGTTCTCCCTCTGTAACTGTCTCCACATTCTCCATTCGAAGGCTCGTTTTAAAGCTGTCTCTTTAAATCCAGACGAGGTGCTTCAAACTCTGCCCCCCTCCAGCTTACATTCTAGTTTGACAGAGGGGTTTACGACCATATAGTGTCACAGAAATGTTTCATTTACAAATTATTTAAAAGATGTCAGTTTGTCCATCCAGCCTTACATGTTGGAGCCAGAGTCTGACCCAGAGCCAGAGGAGAATGAAGACCACCAAACTGTAGTTGGTGAGTCCAGGCCTTATTTAGAAGTTCCATTGCAATTAATTAGACATAATAGTTCAGATTATGTCATAGAAAATAGAGAAAAATAAAAAAATAACAAAATATAAAGATATCTATGCAGCACCACGAAAGACCAAATCCAATTTTTCTGCACTCCTACTGACTAGTACACAACAAAATGTATAATGACTAAAAAACTTTGGATTTTACAGGATATGTCCCCTTTAAGACAACTTTCTTTTAATTTAATGTCATTTCATTACATTTAAAACCTGGTATTAGGCACTGTCTTTCAAACGAGAGTTTAAACTAAACTGTGGCATCCATTTAGAATCAACCTGACTCCAAACATAATCAGTTGTACAATTATTGATTATTTCTGTAAGTGTCATTAAAATCTGTCCAGTGGATCATGAGATGCTTTGCTAACAGACAGACGAACAAACACTGGTATTTCAATTCAGTTCAATTCAATTCAATTCAATTCAGTTTATTTATATAGCAACAAGTCACATCAAGTGTTGTCTCAGGGCACTGTGCTAAAAACAATCAATCTAAAAAACCAGCAGAGTGAGTTGAATCACTTCATCACAGTCTCCCATCCTGAGCAGCACATTTGTGACAGTGAAAAGGAAAAACTTGCTTGGGGGACAGGAAGACATAGGGACAAAGAAAAACATGGTATTGACAGAAATAATTACAACATGTAGAGGAGAGTGACTAAACCTATAGCAGCAGCACTAAGGCATAACTCAGGCAACCTAAGTCTAACTGTACGATTTATCAAAAAGGAACGTCTTCAGTCTAATCTTAAAAGTAGACAGAGTCAGCCTCACGGACAGAAACTGGAAGCTGGTTCCACAAGAGAGGAGCTTGATAACTGAAAGCTCTGCCTCCCATTCTACTTTTAGAAACTCCAGGAACCACAAGTAAACCTGCAGTCTGAGAGHGAAGTGCTCTGTTAGGAAAGTATGGAACAATAAGATGTTTAATATATGATGGAGCTTGGTTGTTAAGATCTTTGTATGTTAGGAGTAATATTTTAAATTCTATTCTGAATTTGACAGGGAGCCAGTGGAGAGAAGCTAAAACTGGAGAAATATGATCTCTCCTTCCAACTCTCATTAAAAATCTAGCAGCAGCATTTTGGATTAACTGAAGAAGGGATAATGTAACTGTTTGATCTTGACAAATATGGGAGGTTATTTCCATGGGCAAACCGCCACAATATGGAAAAAATTTAATGATTATTCATTTTATTTGCAACTTTTACATTTCTAAAAATAGAGTGCATTCATGTTTTGGTGTTTATGTCAGTTATCCTCTGTGATTCATGTTCAGACTTCTCAGGCTGTATGTTCTACACATGGTGTAGRAACAGATGAAGGGTGAGAGGATTTATGACCCAGCATTGGGTGCTCTAATCTGTTGCAGGTGTTTCTGGATCTCAGGCCAGGCCTGCTCTACTCTCCAGGAGGCSCCATCGCTGTGTTTGATAAAGAAAAAAACAGAGGGAGGAAGAGGAAGAGACACTTTTTTCTTTATAAACTGTCTTCATGGAGGTTTTATCATCTCAACGATGGACTCAAATAATAATGTCAATATAAGACAATTAACAGGCCTTCCAACTAAACAATTTATAATTCTGCTGTGATGAAGCTGATTTAAGTTGAACCTTACCCAGAAACCTAAAGCTGCCATACACAAGCACCACCGGACCCTCTKACCACCATCAGTAGGCAAGGCGGGTAAGGTGTCTTGCCCAAGGACACAATGACTGAGTTGACTGGGAGGGAATCGAACCGTCGACCTTCCGGTTCTAGGTCAACTCCCATAACCACTCTACCACAGCCACTAGGTTTGCTAAAAGTGACAAAAACAATCAAAAAAACTAAAGAGTAACCAAAAGTTTAGAGAGCTACATATGAAAAATAGTTGTTTGGCTAATTCTTGCTTTTATAACTTGTGAATCGTCATATATTTTATTAAATTGTACTGTCCCCTTTCAAATACATAAATCAAATCAAAGTTAGAATGAAAAAAAGGCTAAATAAAAGCAAAAATTATTAAAACAGTAGCTAAAAGCTAAGAAAAGCAAAAAATGGTAATTTATTTCACCAATTCATAACAAGTCATTTCAGTGAACTGTCCTAAAAATCTTTACATATATTAAAAAAAATGCTTATAAATTAAATTTATCTAAGTTAGGAAGCAAAGTAGCAAAAGGTTAACTAAAGGGTACAAGTGGCTGAATGGTCGCTCAAAGCTAAAGGTTGCACAGAAGACAAAAATAGAGTATAGAATATAATAAAAAGTATGCGGGAGCAGAAATAAAACATCACTGCTCTTTTATGATCTAATAAATTTACTTTACATTTAATGTAAAGTAAATGTGTTGCCTTTACTTAATTCAGTTGAGTGGAACCAGTTGACATAATTTTTTTCATTTAAATCCACTGCATCTGTTTTTTCTGAAAGATTTCATATGCTGTTGCTTAAATTGTGCAAACTACTCAGACATATTGGCACAAAGCAGTAAATAATAGTCTGAATGCTGATCTATCATTTAAAAACCTAAATATTTACATTAATCATTTCAGTTGTGACAGAAAACCTTTTCATCATCTCTCATTTTATCACAATAAAATATGTCAAGAAACAACTTTTTTCTTAGCTTTTCAAACAATGTTAATGAATCTTTTCTTTTTCTTTTTTTTCTTTTGACAAAGACAGTTCGCTCCTGGTATACAGTAGGAAACTGCTTGAGCAGCAGGGTGCAGCTTCTAGGATAAGTTGCAAAAGAGGTAGACCACCAGGATGGATAGAGCCTCGCAGGGAGCCTKTGGTGCCTTTGGGGGTTTGTGAACAAAAGCAGGAGAACAAAAAAACAAACTTTAAAAGAAGTCCGAGTGTGGCCATCTTTGTGAAGAGAAAACTAAATGTATGTAGGAGGAATGGAAATGGATGAGAAATCAGGGATACAAAGAGCAAGGAATGAAAAGATGGACTGAAAAAGTATTGATCTGTAGAAGCAAATTTCAAAATGTGATTATGTTAAAATAAGTGCAGCTAAAATAAAATTATTAAAGATAAAATAAGTCAGATTTTTCTAATGTATAAATTAAATGAAGCTCTTGTCTTAAGAATAGTTGTTGTAGAGATGCTGTTTCACAGCTTGGACATTACTGCCCCCGTGTGGTTATTCAAAGTACAAACACACAAAATATAAAGTCTCAATATTCCCAGCTGCCAACTGCTAACAAAATATCTCTTAAATTATCCACCCATCTGTTTTCTTTACAGGCTTCTTATTTCCAGGTAGCAGGTGTCTATCTCCAGCAATCACTGTGGGAAAGACAGGGGACAACCTGCCTCCAGTCCATCACAGGGACACCTGGACAGGTCTCCAGTCCATCACAGRGACACCTGGACATGTCTCAGTCCATCACAGGGACACCTGGACAGGTCTCCAGTCCATCACAAGGACACAAAGACAATCACTTACACCTGGGAGGCAGTTCAGAGTTACCAGTGACTCCAGCATATATGTCTTTGGTCTGTGGGAGGCAACGGAGAAAACCCACATGAACAGAGAAGAACATGCATGTTTGATTATTCGAGTTTAATTTCTGCTGCTGAAACTTGATCTTTAATCAAGAACTTGAATCTCAGCATTTAACACAGCTTTTCTGCAGTGGTGAAAAAATGCTGTGACACAATAATGCTTTTACAAATACAGATTTTAATTGTTATTTTTAAATCGCTTTTCAATATTCAAAGTGAGCTAAAAGAAGAAAACAGTAAAACTTTTGTGTCCAGTTTATATTGGTACACTTGCACAGAGTCAAAGATTACTCAGGTTTATATTAACAAAGGAGATGAGATCAAAAACACAATCGCTGTATAAAACAGAAACAGCTAAAGTTCTACTAAAGTCAGGTTATATATTACAGATCAAACACATCCAAACTGAGGAGAGCAACAAAACACAAGATACAGTAAGGTTTCTCTTAAGAAAAGATTTCAAAGCAGACTGGTTTTAAGTTCTCCGGATCAGATTTGTTAAAAAAAAAAAAAAAAGGCACAAAAACTGCAAAGATTTGATCTTAGACACAGTTGTCAGCAAAGTTTTTTTTTTTTTNAAACACAAGATACAGTAAGGTTTCTCTTAAGAAAAGATTTCAAAGCAGACTGGTTTTAAGTTCTCCGGATCAGATTTGTTAAAAAAAAAAAAAAAAAAAAGGCACAAAAACTGCAAAGATTTGATCTTAGACACAGTTGTCAGCAAAGTTTTTTTTTTTTTTTGTGGTATAAATGAAACATATCAAAATTGAATAACTGAGAATTTTAAACTACCTGTTAAAAACTCCCAGGACTCACTTCCACTCATCTCCTGACCTTCATGGAAGACGAACAGTGCATTTTCAATTGGATGTCAGAAATCCGAACAAGTCTATTTTTTTGTGTTGCTGCTGCTGATTAAGTTTTTATGGACTGTTTATTGAGTTCTGCATGATATAATTAGTCAGAGGAGGATACCAGTCTCTGATCACGCACATAACATACGTGAACCAGGGGTAGTACAGCTCCTGCTGCCTCGTTGCTCCAGTTTTGATGATGTTCAGCGCTGCTTCTGTGGCAGGATAGGCCGGCACGTTAATAAGTCCCCTGAGAGCCAAAAACATATCCTGCATTGAGCTAAAGCAATTAACTTAAGAGGTATTTATAAGGCAAAATATGGCAAACATGCATGTACATATACATGCTTTTGACAAACCTGACTTTCTCCATAGCTGACTCAGTATCAATAAGCCCCAGTGTGCAGATAGAGATGGACACGTTGCTCTTCCTCATAGCCAGTTCATGGTACAGAGATCCAAAGAACCCATTCAGAGCAGATTTTGTTGAAGTGTATGTTGCCACAAATGGGCTGGGCACTTTACCTGCAAACCAAAAACATCTGTCCAGGTCAAACACAAAATGTCTGGAAGAAGACTGAAGTGTAAAAGTTATACATAATTTTTCGTTTTCCAACATGACCTTTACGTATATTTGTGATTTTATGTGTGTATTTGTAGTTTTGTTTTTCTATCATTATTAGGACCATGCATTGACTTCCATTCATTTCCAGTCTTTTTAACAGTCCAACCTTGACCCTAAACCTAACCCTTAACCCAATAAAGGTGTTCAACCAGTTTTTGGTCCCCAAAAGGACTTCTGGTCTTGACAAGGAACAGGTGTTTATACCCAAGGTAACAAAAACCTACACACACACACACACACACACACACACACAC